ATGTTGTCGTACCAACCCTCGAGGTTGAGTATCAGTACATGTATGTTCCTGAGTAATCCAAAGAGAAAAGAAAAGAATGGTCTTCCGTAAATTTATGACGTTAATTCCTCTAAGTGAGCCGTTACAACCATACTTGATAATGACACTTTCGCCTGTCTTGACATCTGGAAGACGCCGACTTGTTTAAGGTACGGATTGTCAACCTAGACTGGACTAGTCTAACTGTAGCGAACAGCTCAGGTGTGGGGCGTCACCCCCGTATAGATCTATACACAAATTCGCGCTCTCCCTCCAAGAGACTCTGGTTATAACTACAGACTACGATCGTACACTCAATAGGTGTGAACCGACAAAACTCACTAGATCCTTAATCGAATTTACGCGAAGAAAAATGTATAAAGCTCATTCCAGGCCCAACGAACCATGTAAGTGAACCACTAGGGCATCGCTAAACATGTGAGTCATTTCAAGACCTAATAGGAATGAGATTCATATAACATGGGCCCGAAATATATGTGAAAGGACAACTAAGGCCAATTTCACATGTAAGGTATTTACAGGCCCAAATAGCACGCAAATAGTATCCAAGGTCTGGCGCACATGTTAATGGGTCAATGAGGCCCAATAAACATACAAATAGTATTCAGGACCCATCAAACATATAAATGGGCCACTAAGGCCCAATAACATGAAAATGGCAAGATTTAGCCCGTTTGTTATTGTATTGCTCGTTTTAGCCCAATTATTTACCAAAAAGCATAAAAAGCCCACTTTTGTAAAAATGACATTCTTGGCCCAATAAGCCAAAATTTTACAATTAAGGCCAAATCTTAGTAAAAATAACACTTTTGTCCACATTTTGTTCAAAACTTGTATTTATGGCTAGTTTTTGGTAAAAATAAAATTTCTAACCCATTTTTGTCAAAAATATCATTTTTAGCTTGATTTTTGTGAAATACACATTTTTATGGTTTGATACTTTTCTAACCCGGTTGTTGGAAAATTTGTAGAAAAATCATCGTAAGTCGAAATTTGGATCCGTAAACTCTGGAAGTTTGGAAATTTTGTCTACTTTGTTCACAATTTTTTTCATAATTTCTAATGGCCTCTATCCAGTGTGAAATATCTCACCTTCACAAGCTGGTCCGAGATTATTTCAAATATGATAAGCAGCTTTGTAAAATTCGCCAAAAATTGTAGAAAATTCGTATGAAAACGTGAGAGTAGTCATTTTAAAGGTATAAACCTGAACGTTTTTCATACAAAACAGTTTTGAAAAATATTACCATTAAGGTGGTCAAAACCGTTCGAGATTGGACCAAAACTTTTCTGTTAAGGGATGATTTTTTCAGTTTAAGTTATCCATGTTTGTACACAACACTTGTTTTTGCTATTTTAAGTGTATAAATCCCAGATCTACAAGTTTACATGTATTATATGTGATAACACATACTTTTCTCAAGGTTTTCATGTAGATCCAAGTGATAAACTTCATATTCTTAACATATTTTTAGATTTATGAAGTAAATAACACATAAGCATCAAATAAATCATGAAAAACACACATATTCATGCATACATTGTATTCTCCCCCAAAACAAAGTAAAAATCGAAAATAGGGGGTATGAACTCACAATGCTTTGTTCTTCTCGGTTTGAAGAAGAAATGGAAGAAGGTGATGTGATTCTCGGCCCTAGCAAACTCCTTGAGATGATTTTTGAACTTAGATGGTTCTAATGAAGCATGATCAAGGATTTAGAGTTAATAAGTAACAAGTTTTGATGAAATCTTGAAGTTAGACTTCTTGAGTTGAGGTAACTTACCAATTATGGTTGAAAACTTGGTGCAAACCTCTTGAGACACACTCTAATTCTCAAAAATTTAGAGGAAAGGGAGGAGAGTTCTTGAATGAGTTCTTGATAGTGTTTGAAAGAAATGAAAGGTGGTGTGATGGGGTTTGGCCGAGAATAATAAGAATAGAGGGAGGAATGAGATTTTTGGTTATTACATGTTGGATTTATCATGGAAATATGAGGGGTAATGCATGGATTACCTCTAAATAATACATAGGTGTCAACTCTTTGATTACTTAATCTCTTCCTCTCTTATATATATATATATATATATTATATATCGATATATATATATATATATATATATATATAGTTGGGCCGAGAGTGAGAAAGAAAAGAAGAGGAGCGTAAATTTGGGCCTTACATGTTTGATTGTAATCCTATGAGACCCAAATAAATGGTTTTTGGGCCCATTGGGCCCTTTGTGAGGGCTCACGACCCTATTGAAGTCCATTAGGGTAAATGGAATCATTTATGGCCCATTAGTGATAATATGAACCATTTTAGGCCCACAGGGCCCAAACTGCTAAGTTTTATAAATGTGGGTCCATTTAGAACCCAATTAGGGTTTCTAGGCCCAAGATAGTTAAGTTGGAGGTTTATTGGTCCATTAGGCCCAATAAGAAAACCCTAGTCCATAATAAACTTGAACTGGGATTTGTAGGGTTTTCAACTCATTTTTGATTATTTGAAATACTTTGTATAGATTTTGAACTTTACTAGTGAATCTTGATTAAGTTTGTTGTCATAGAACGAATATAGTGCATAATATCAAGTTAGAGTTACAAGTATTATCATAGATGAAGTTTACATGAGCACAGAATTTCCTAGCTAAAATGCCAGTTGTGACATATTTCTTTTTCTTTGGCACACTCTTGCACGAAAATGTATTGATTTTCCAAAAGTCTTGTTCGTGGTGATTATGGTTCTTTTATGTTACAGAACTAATGATGTTTCGCTTCTACATATAATTGAGAACTACAGCGTTGAGAACAAGTTATTGCTGACGCGGCAAAAGGATAAGATTTCAAACAAAAGGCGTGTGAATTTGAAACGTCACCAATCGTCATGCCGCCTGCCATACTTTTCGGAGGCACTGTTGTCAAATCACGTCTTTTTAGGCGTTGGTTACAAGCATTTTAAGCGAATGACGATTAGATTCTCTCTCTCTTGGGCAATTGTATAATAGGGGTTATCGATCATTAGGTTACTCTTTACCACTTTCAAGAACCTTAAAAGGCGATTTCTTTCTTACTGTTCATCTTCTTCAAGCAACTGCAATAATGGCCAATTCTTCCTCTGTTCAAGAACACTCTGCTCAGTCTTCTTTTCTCACAATCAAGCCCAACCAAAACTTGATCTTAGATTTGGCTCCGTTCAAGTATGATCCGTACATGCTTCCCATTGTCAAGTGCTTGAAGTACTCACCTTTGGTTAATGCCCTAACCAAGGTTGAATGTGTTCATATGTCCCTGTTATCATAGGCCTTCTCGTCTGCTAAGTATCTCAAGGAGGAGGAAAATATTATCTTCGAAGTTCATGATAAGAAACACTCGGTTTCCAAGTCCATATTTTGCTCTCTTCTAGGGCTAAACTATGTTGATTCCATGGTGAACCCGGAGTCCATCACCACTGCACAAATCTTCGAGATGTTTTATAACATGGGGTATACCGAAGTTCTCACCATCATCACCAAATTCAATAAATCTTCTCTCCCACCACAATGGAATGGTTTGTTTACTCTTCTTTTCAAGGCATTATCTGAGAGAGTATCTGGGTCTGACTGTGCTAGCAAATCCTTTATGGCCTATACCATGGGATTAACCTTGATTACGGCTCAGTGATGTGGGTTCAATTGGTGTAGAGTATGAATTCCTCGTCTCGACACAGCAAGATCTCTTGCGGACGCTTCTGGACGATAGTCGTGCAGAGGGCAATTGCCAAGTTCAATATTCCAGTGATGGCGGACTCCTTAATGTCGTCGATAGCCACTTTCCACACTATGAAGATTATCATCGCTGATAATTCGAAGTTCTTATTTGTGGGTCTATTCCGGAGGCTATGTACAGATGTGTTTTTGGGGCTAGCAAAATTATCATTGGGTACAAGAAGAATCCTGTTTCGGGTCCTAGGGAACTTACTGCTGAGATGCAACGCTCAATCGATGAAGCTGATAAACCCAAAAAGGGAGGAAAGAATGGAACTAAGAAGAAAGGGGTTCAAGAAGGTCAGTATTCTCAAGCTCAAACTCCTAAGAAGCGAAAAACTCAATATGCAGCCCCTCCAGCTCCAAAGAAACGAAAGCTCAGAAAGATGACCCTGCAGCCCAGCTCATCTTCATCAAGCGATCCTGTGTACGTTCCTTCTGATCCAGCTAAAGAAGACTCAAGCGACAGCGAAAGTTCTCAATCTGATGGTTCGCTTCATGGTGATTCGCCTCCACCTTCTTCACATCAAGAGGTACCTTTAAACGACTCTGTCCCAACTCCACCTCCATCTCCTACTCACACTACTATTCCAATTACCATCGCCCCTTTACCACCACCAGTTTCATCTCAGCAACCACCTGTTATTTCTATAACACCCACCTCTATTACCCAGCCGCTACCCATATACACTGAAACCACTACAACAACCACCACATGAGAAACTCTCTTCAATGTCAACGCATCTGATGTGGGGGCAACGAATTTAGGTTTTGTCACTACCTCAATCCCACCTGTTCTTTCGGTCAACGTATCTGATACGGGGGCTCAAACTTCCGGTTTCTCCACTCATGTTTCACCTCCCATTTCCCCTCTTAATCGTAATGACCCAGAAATGGTCTTTTGTGATGACGACGATGAAGATCTTGGTGGTTTTACTTACAGTCCATTCCAAATCCGGACTGAGAATGAAGAAGATGTGCAAGTCACGAAAGGGAAACTCCAGTCCCTCCATGAAAAGATTGATCAACTGCTTCTCTCTAACAAAGCTTCTTCTACTGATGCATACGCCAAAGCAGCTGTTAAGTCTCTCTTTGAGCGAATCATGAAGCAACAGTCCGCTACTGTTGAAACCTCGAATAAAGCTGTTTCTAATTCTGATGAGGTTTGCAAATCAACGAACGAAAAAGTCAATATACTAATTGAAGACACTAACTCTTTCATGGAGAACTTCCAAACCACTTTTAATTCCAACACCACATCAGCAAACGAAGCATTGAAGAGTTTGGGTTCGCTCTTCAAGACTGAGAAGACGAAACTCGAAGAGATTCGTACTGGTCTTAAAACTGACCATGCATCATTCCAAGCTACTATCTCGTCTCAGCTTTTCATCATAAAGACGAACTGGTGAAGGAAAGTAACTTGAAGGACTCTCTCGCTCTTAAGTCCGAAGAAGCCACGATGTTAAGCACCAAACTTGAAGCTTCAGAGAAACAGGTCCATGATCTATTATCTGACAGGGCAGTCATGCGCAGCTGTATCACTGATGTTACTGGCATGCTCTCGGATATCATTGAGACCAGAGACTCCATGATCACAATCACCATGCGTAAGCATCTGGCAGAAAAATTAAGGCCAATCTTCGCTATGCTTCACCGCCTTGAAGGTGTTTCTGATCAAACCTTTAATCCGAAAAGGGAATAGGGAAAGAAAACCAAGTCTTCCTTCAAGCCAAAGTCCTGTTCTTCCGTTATCAAACCACTTCATCTCCTCCACATGGATTGTTTTGGACCGGTCTCGATTAAGTCATGAGTTGGGAAGAAGTATACTCTCGTTATTGTGGTAAATTTTCAAGATTTACTTAAGTAGTCATTTTAAGAAAGAAGAGTCATGCCGCTGATGAAATCATTTCTCTCATTAAGCAATGGGAAGTTCTCTATTATCATAAAGTCAGGAAATTACGTAGTGATCATGGAACTGAATTTAGAAACTCCTCCTTGGAAGACTTTTTCTTAATCTCAAGAATTTCTCAGAACTTCTCTACTGTTAGAACTCCCCAACAAAAATGGCATTGTTGAAAGAAGAAACAGAACTCTCATTGAAGTTGGAAGAACTATGGTCGTTGAAGTTGGTCTTCCTTTATCATTTTGGGATGAAGCTGTCAACACAACGTGTTATACCCAAAACCAGTCCATCATTGTTAAGCATCATGGGAAACTGCCTATGAGCTGCTTAACGGAAGGAAGCTGGACATCTCTTACTTTCATGTGTTTGGGTGTGTTTGTTACATTTTGAATCAAAGAGATCAGCGCTCTAAGTTTGAAGCTAAAGATGATGAAAGAGTGTTTCTAGGTTACTCTAGTGTATCCAAGGCTTTTAGAGTATTCAATCTTTCAAGGCAAAATGTTGAGAAAACTGCTCATGTCACTTTCGATGAAGACTCATTCATTCATGATCAGATTGATCATCCTTCATCAATCATGAATGAACTTACTTACTGTCCTTCATACCAAGTTCCTAATTTATTTCCAAATGACACTGAGCCTGTTGTCCCTAATGTTGATCAAATTATCAGCTCCCAACCTATCTCTGAAGATCATCCTATCATCTCTGAAGAAGTTGAGCCATCTAATTAGGAAGATTATGTTCCAAATAATACGAAGGAATGTTCTAATCCTTCCTGAATCTCAAATCATTGGAGATGTAAATTTTGGGATTCTCACTCGTAGCAGATTCAGCAGAAACTTCTGCATGTTTGTGAACTTTGTCTCGATGATTGAACCAAAGAATGCCGCTGACACCCTAAAAGAAGTTGACTGAATCAAGGCTATGTAGAATGAGCTGAATGAATTTGAACTTCATTGTATGTGGACTCTTGTTCCCAGGCCTCAAGGAAAAACTATCATTAGCACTCACTAGGTATTCAGAAACAAGATGGATGAATATGGGATTGTCATAAGAAACAAATCAAGAATTGTGGTTCAAGGTTTTTTTCATCTGTAAGGGTTAGACTATGAAGAAATATTTTCTCTTGTTGCTATACTTGAATTAATTTGTCTGTATATTGCTTTTGCTTCATTCAAGAACTTCAAAGTCTATCAAATAGACGTTAATATTGCCTTCTTACATTGAGATCTTCAAGAAGAACGTCTTTCTAAAGAAACCTCCAGAGTTTGAAAGTGAAGAGTTTCCAAATCATGTATATCGTCTTGATAAAGTGGTCTATGGTTTAAAACAAGTACCTAGAGCATGGTATGTCACATTAGTGAGTTATCTTCTTGAAAATGGATACAAACGAGGAAAGATTGACAACACTTTGTTCATCAAGCATTTAGGATCTCACATCATTCTTGCTTAGGTGTATGTTGATGATATCATTTTTGGATCCACTGATGATAAACTAAGTTCAGAATTCGTTGAGATCATGACTAAGAAGTTTGAGATGAGCATGATAGGTGAACTAAATTTCTTTTAGGGTTTGCAGGTTAAACAACTAGCTGATGGAATTTTTGTTTGTCAAGATAAATACATTGCAGATATGCTGAAGAAGTTTGGTTTTTCTGATTACAATCCGACAAAGACTCCAATGTCCTCATCAGAGTCTATTGGCGTTGATCCAACTGGCACTTATGTGAATGCAACTCTATATCGAGGAATGATAGGTTCACTGCTCTATCTTACTGTCAGTCATCCTGACATTATGTTTGCTACCATTTGTGTGCTCATTATCAATCTAGTCCTAAGGAATCTCATCTTCTCATTGTAAAAAAAATTTGTTACTTAAAGCATACACCCAATCTTGGGTTCAAGCTAGTGGGATACACTGATTCTGATCATGGTGGACGTCGCATTGATTGTAAAAGTACTTCAGTAGGGGCTCAAATGCTTGGAGATAGATTGGTGAGGTGGTCCAACAAGAAGCAAACATCAGTGGCTTGCTCTACCACTAAAGTTGAATATGTAGCCACTGGAAGGTGTTGTGTTCAGATTCTATGAATTCAAAATCAGCTTTTAGATTACGGTCTAACCTTCTCAAAGACTCCTATATGTTGTGACAACACCAACGCTATTCAGTTGATACAAAATCCAGTGGAACATTCCAAAACCAAGCACATTGATATCCGTCATCACTTCATCAGGGACATTGTTCAAAAAGGAAAATGGAGTTGTTCTATATCCTATCCACTGATAAACTAGCTGACATTTTCAGTAAGGCATTGGATGAGAAGACTCTAAACAAATTGATTGCAGATGTTGGCATGCTTTCAATAACTTAATCATTTTCTAACTCACTTTTACTTGCTTTCTTAAAAACACAAAAACAAGTGTTGCTTTTATTATGTTTTTATAACTTTACATACTTTGCTTAAGCTTTGTTTTTTAATATTTACAAGTATTCTAGTTTCTTTGTATTATCTATCCTTCAGGCCTATCTAAGGTTTACTTTCACTTTTTCTTATCATAAGTTAGAAAGAGCTAGAATCATCCAGAATGTTTTGAATGCTCTCGTTGTTAAGAAGAATATTGGCATCATGCCCTCTTCTTCTTGATAATTCCCTCTTTCTCCTCCACTCATTGTTATGGATACAAGCAGTAACCATCAATGCAATGAGGCTTGTTGTCATTTACTGACTCCGATAAAATCTCGAATGCTCTCATGTTGATCTTATCAACACGATGGTTTCATGGATTTTATCCATTTAACTCGTTGGTTACAAAGACTATAACTCGTTGGTTACAATGACTATTTTCTGCTCCTCTCTTTATCTTGATGAACATGAAGCTTGGAGTCCATCTGGAACATCTCATCGATTAATTATCTCATCATTATTGGTTTGTAGTAAGTTGTATTGTAATGTATTTTCTCTTACTTGTGTTTTCTTTTATAGCCAGTCTTGAAGGATGGATATCTCGAACAAAGGAAATTAATTAATGAGTATTCATTTCAAAAGATTTCTCTTTAGTGATTCCACTCAAAAGATTTTCTGCATTTATTATTCCTCTAAAAAGGTTATGTAGAGAGCTTCTGAAAAAGCTGCAAAAATATCGTTTTTAGAATATTTCCTTGTTTTACTAACTCTTTTGTTTGTATTCTTATATTATTTCTTATTTTTTCTTGTACCATTTTTTAAAGATTTGACAAATAATTGTCCTTAGAAGCATGTTGTTGTATGTGCCTAAATCTCTCTAAGTATCTCATCAGCGGGACCATCTGATGAGATGACATTGAGTCACCCCCTCATGCTGATTGTCTAGCATCGTCTAAACATTTTCTAAGTGAGATTGCCTGGTCCAAATAAAAAAAGTTATAAAAAACTTGGGTGTTTATTTTTAGTTATTTATCTCTTACTCGACTCTTGTCCCTGGAAGCATTTTTGCGTATGCATCCAGTCTTATGTTCTGCTGAAAAATTAAGCCTAGCCCAATGGCTTACCCTGATTGCACAGTCATCAACATAAGAGATACTTGTATGGTCGTTAAAATGACAAAGGGTTATTCATGTCCTTGACCTCCTACATTGAGGTATGACATGGTGCTGATATGGTCTTATTTAGTCATAAAAATCATGCATGATCTTAATACTTTATGTTAATTTATCTCAAATAATGAACCAAAGGTGCTTAATTAGCTTAAATATTTCATTTTTAGCAACAAAGACATGCTCGAAAGGAAAAGGAAGCAGATTTAGCAATTGGAAGCTTGGATCTTGGATTTTGAAGAAAGAAGGATGTTGTTGGACAGCTTGACCCCTCGTCAGTGTTTTGGCCATACCTCATGAACCGTAACTCCGATTGACGAGATTCAAAATGTTCTGAAAACTAGACACAATTTCGGACGACTTTCATGTTTTGAGAAAATGTTGATTCCAAATGGACTCGACGAGTATGCCATCAACTCGACGAGTTGGTCAGAAGTTTCGCGATTCTTGACTTTGCCTTGCCGTGCACGGGATTTTAAGTGATGGACTCGTCGAGTAGGTCACTGGACGCGCCGAGTAGCCCCTGTTTTCAGAATATATATATATATAGAAACACTTCTCATTCGAACCCTAACGAATGGGGGAAGCTATGGACGATTTTTAGAGGCCAGAAGGGTTCTTAGAAGCTGTGGTTTTCGAGATTTCAACTTAGATTCCAATTTTGAGAAGATCAAAGGCAATTTAGGTTTACTCTTTACTTAATCTTTTGTTTAAACTATGTTTGCATCAATTGATTTCGTTTTTGATAAACTTTCTGCTGTAATCATGAGCTAAAACTCATATCTTCTGTTTAGGGTAGATGAATTTATGACTATGTGTTGATTTTTGTGGTTGGATTAATTGAAATTGGTGAATTTGTTTTGTTAAGCTTGTTAAAGATCCTCATGTGTTAACAACAACTATTTTCTGTTAATTAGCTAAGTAATTAAGTTGCATGAACATCTCTTAACTGCTTATCTCATGTGATTTATGTGAACACATTGTTATGTGCCTAGGAATAATGAATGTGAAACTAGGGTTAACTAGAAAATAGGTAAATTAATGTGTGAGCCTTGTGTGACGAACCATCAACAAGAGGTTAATTGAATTAGTAATTTGATTAGCTAATTACAAGTCTTACTTAACCCGAATCAATAGTCTAGGAAACTCATTAGTTTAACCAATTGGCCAATGTTTGAATTAATTTGTTTTCTAAGGATTAGTAATAGTGAACGTGAACCTAATC